TCCAACTTTGATAATAAAACCTGAGACATGAATTGACCATGAAAAGGATTGAAGGTAGAGAGAATAAGACGGGGGTTTTCATCTGCCAATCGATCAAGACCTAAATTGCTCAAATTAGACTAATATAAAACAAAAATTATACAATAATAATTATAGCTTCATGAACGAAGAAACAAACAAAAATTATTAAATTTTGATTAATAACAAAAATAATCACAAACATAAAAAGAGATTAAAAAACAAAACTTACGGTGCATTCAGCATTCAGCACACAGCAACGAATGCGATTAAAGAAAGTGATTAGAATAGAGCAGGATTAGGTTTAACCTACTTCCTGCATCCTAAATATTTATATTGGAGCCGATGAAACTGGAAAACAAATCCTAATCCTAATTAGTTTAGAATACACAAAACCCAGTTAGATTGGACCATGCCTTACAAGCATAGCCCAAAGATCAGGGAGAAACTTTAATTATGAATTTTAATTAAAGATGGCTTCGAGAAAAGAAAATTGCCACAACGACTACGATAGTGAAGTTTTAATCTTGAAAGAAAAAACAGTAACAGTAAAGATGAGGGTTGCTCACCGCAAATCGGAGGAAGGTCTTGGGGACGACGAGAGACTAGTGAGATCTAGATCTTGAATCAAAAGACAATAGAGGGGACCGCCGACGGTTGATGGTCCGAGACTAGAGTTAGTAGGAGGATCTCAAGTAGGAGCAGAGGGACCACCGTGGGGGAGCAGGAGGAGGTGCGAACCGTGAAGGGACAAGCTTAGAACCTTTTGATATAGGGAAACACTACCCAAAATAATAAAAATTTATACCATAATTAAGTAAAAAAGTTGTTTTTTAATCGAAATAATTATTTTTTATTTCTTATCTCATTTTACTTAAATATATTTACCTTATTTTATTCGCATACGATTGGATTCAGTATTTTTTTTTAACGAAATAAAATAAAATGTTTTATGTAAAAAAATAAATAAATAAAAAGATCTTACGTGTTAAAAAAAAATCAAAAGGTCAAAAAGTCTTACGTACTGTCCTGTCATATTGTGATTCCAAGAAAATACTGTGAAGTAGGTTTTAATTAAATAATAATATAATTTAGAGTGTGACGATAGATTTCCTATCTTCTGAACTGAAACAAAAATTTTGTCGGTTGTGTTGCTTTGAAGAACAAGGTAAAAAGGTAATATCAGTCCCAAACAATTGATTTGATGTGGATTAGCTCCTGAACATATCAATACTTACGAATATTTATTTCTCGACGCTTATTGAACATTTATTTGACTAAGGACAGTGAAAATGAAAATTTAAAATAAAAATTTAAAATTAATAGTGTAATTTATGTTATATTATTAAATTCATTAATATATATAATATAATTTTTATCATATTTTTTATTTCAAATCTTAAATTTTAATCTCATTTATTATTATTTTATTTATTTATCAATACTTATCAATATCCCTTTTTTTTTTATTTGGCGTTGCATAAATTAAGTTAATCCTATGTTACCTCACCTGTATATGATTCCACTCAAACTAAGAAGTTTTATTGTTATTTTTAATAAAAATAAATTATCATTAAATTATTTAAATTATTAATGATACCCATCAATACTTATATTATTACTTATATTATTATATTATTCCCTTTAATATTTTTTTTCGTGCATTTGTGAAGATGAGATAGACAAGAGGTAAGAGTTTTTTTCTTCCCTTAAATTTCTTTTTATTTCATTCAAAATTTAAACTTGAAATCTTCAATTTCAAATCTAAAAATCTTAAATATTGAGTCACTCTCTTGTGATCTCTCTAATCTTTTTTTTTAATTGTTCTAATCCCTCAATTTTTTGTAATATAATTTGATAATTTTAGATAATAAATGAATAACAATAGTAAAAAATTGATCTAATTTTTTTGAATAAAGGTAATTTTTTACAAATATTCCTACTACACTATAAGAGATGGGGGAAAGTGATTCCTGGGGAATCAGACGTCCAACCCAGGGTAGTGTTCCCATTAAGGGGCAAGCGAAAATAATAAATGAATAACAATACTAAAAAAAATTGATCTAATAGAAAATGCCAACTCCTTAAGATCTAATTGAAAATGCTCAATAAAAACTAAGTGCAAAAGGAAAAAAATAATTCAATTATCATTTATTTACAACTTATATCAAATCAAACTTTATATAAAAGTCAATCTAAACCAATTAAATGTTTTTTATGATACATTGAAGAGTTAACTATTTGATATAACACATCTTAACTTTGAAATTAAAGTTTTTTAGCAAGGTTTTTAAAATCGGACCGGACCAATCAGTTGAATCGGTCAGATCAATATCTGGTAATGAAAATGGTTCGATTTACATAAAAAAACCGTTTGATGTCAAAACTGGTCATAATTGATGGAATCGGTGGAATCGATAAAACCAAAAAAATCACTGGTTCAATTTCTCATGCAATCTTTTTTCTATTTTTTCAATTTCACCCTCATCATTCCTTTCTTATACCGATTTTAACTTTGGAAGTGTATGCTGCCCGCCTGTGGCCTACTCCTCTCATCAGATTCTCCCTTGTTGTTTGGATCGACTGGTTCACTGGTTCAACCAGTTGAATGATCAAACCAAAAACTGGACCTAAAAATGGTTCAATGATCGGTTTGATTTTAAAAACCTTGTTTTTTAGTTAGAGGATATCAATTTGACCAAATTCTCATTGGTATGGAACAACTAAATCAAATTAAAAGGAGCATTTCTTAGGGAAATAGTAGATATATGCTTTATCTCACAAAAAACTAGGAGAAAAACTCATTTAAAATTATATCATTTTAATAACTTTTATTAAAAAAGATTATAATACCTTATTTTTAAAGTATAAGTCAGATTATTTTTAATTCTTTTTTCTTATAGCATTTTATTAAAATAACCTAATTTTTGAATAATTTTTTTTAATTTTTAAAATATAAAGCAGTTAAATACTAATCACAGTATTTAAATAAAAATATTATAATTATAATATCACGTGACATTATTAATTTATAATATGATATATCATTATATACTTGGCATTTAATTGTTTTAGAGGTTCATTTTCAAGCTTTAATCGTCCGATTTGAACCTGAAGTGCTTCCAGATCTTCCTCAAAATACCATGATATTCATATATCAAAACTCAGAAATTATGTTTGGTTGGATGTAAATGCTGATTTGCTATTCCTCAATCAATTGTAATTGGTGTACACACTGATTATAGATTTTGTCCCATTCTTGCGAGTAAATCTAGTGGTTCGTTGCTCAAAAAACCACTAAGAAATTGGTCAAATGGGATAAAACACATGGGTTAGATGTGTTTTTCAACCTGGATTTCCCGTCTTCTTCAACATTTGTCAATCTGCAAATGCTTGAACTTTTTCTCTTTTTGATCCCAATTCCCAAGTTCTAGTTTTTTGCGTGTTTATCTTTGGGGAAGTAATTTTCCAAAATCTTGGGTTAATCTTAGTATCTTCAAAGTTGCCTAGCTAGTTATCTCGTATGGTGAATTGATTTGCACACCAGCTTCTTGTTTAAATCAATGCAAACCTTGTCTGTATCTTTTGTAGGAGCCAGATCAGGCCGTGGATGGTCCGAATCTGGCGTTAGTAGGAG